CTAAAAAAGATTAAGTTGTTTGATTATATTGTTTAGTTCTTCTGTGTCTTTGTTGAATTTCTTTCTAGTTGTTCCATCTTTCATTGAAAGTGGTGTGTTAAAGTCTCCTACTATTACTGTGGAATCATCTATTTGTCTTTTCAATTCTATTAAGGGAGCTCTGGTGGCATAGTGCCTAAGGCATTTGACTGCTAGCCAGAAGGCTGGCGGTTCAAACCCACCAGCCAGTGTGATTTATGTATTTTAGGGCTTTTTCATTGGGTGCGTAGATACTTATTGGCTATTTCTTCTTGTTCAATTGATCCTTTAATCATTATGTCATTTCCTTCCTTATCTTTTATGGTGGTTTTTGTCTTAAAGTTAATTTTATCAGAAATTAATATTGCCCCTCCTGCTCTTTTTTGATTGCCATTTGCTTGATATATCTTTTTCCAGCCTTTGATTTTTAATCTTTGTGTTTAAGGTGAATCTCTTGCAGACAGCATATTGATGGGTCATATTTTCTTATCCAGTCTGCAACTCACTGTCTCTTGAATGGTACATTTAATCCATCTACATTCAGTGTAATTATCAACAAGTATGAATGTGTTGCTGTCATTTTGTTATGTGTTTTTTCATAGTCTTGCTGATTTTTTTTTGTTCCATATAATTTTATGTGCTGAGTTCATATTGTTTATGAATTTTTTATCATTTACTTTGTTGCTGTTGTTTTAGTATTTGCTAAAATTTGTGTCCCTCTTCTTTTTTTATTTTGATGAGAAGGCTTATTATTTTTCTCTGAGATTACCCTATGATTTATAATTTTCTTCCCAAGTTTAGAACAGTCTGTTCTGTCTCACAGTTGTCTTGACTTCCTCACCATGTGGAAGTTCAATACATACACTATTTATTCCCTCTTTGTGGTTTGTAATTGTCCTCATTTACCAATTGATGTCACTGGTTTCCTGTTTACAGTCTTATAAGCTTATTTTACTTTGGATAGTTCTATAACTAGGTTGGTTTCTGGGTTATATCATCCTGTGTGTTAATCATCGGTTGTTATCTGCTGGTGTTGCTTCTCTGTCCAAAAGACTCTCTTTAGCATCTCTTATAAGTTTGCTCTGGTTTTAACAAATTCCCTTAAGTTCTGTTTATCTGGAAATGTCCTAATTTCACCATCATATTTGAGAGACAGTTTTGCTGGTTATGTAATTCTTGGTTAGCAGTTTTTTTCTTTCAGGGTTTTATATAGATCATCCCATTGCCTTCTCTCCTGCATGGTTTCTGCCAGCTAAATCCGAGCTTAGTCTTATTGGTTGCCCTTTGTAAGTAACATTTCAGGTTTGTGTGTGTGTATGCTGCTTTCAGGATTGTTTGTCTTTGGTTTTGATGAGTTTGATGATGATATGTCTTGGTGATTTTCTTTTGGGGTCTATCCTGTTTGGGTTCATTGAACATATCTTCTCATCTTTCATCATATTAGGGAAATTATCTTCCAACAAATCTTTGACAATTTTCTCTGTGATTTTATTTGTCTCTTCCAATTACATGCAGTTTATTTTTCTTGATGATATCCCACATGAATCTTAGGCTTTCTTAATTTTGTTTTTATCTTTTTTCTGATTGATCCCTTAACAAAAAAGTATTGAGGTATTTGTCTTCAGTCTCATTAATTCTGTCTTCCATTGATTCAGTTCTACTCCTTTGCCCCTTATCTGTTTCTCAAATCTTAATATTAATCTTCTGGATTTCTATTTGCTGTTTTTGTATTGTTTTTAATTTTTTGTTTATTTTGTCAGTTTGTTCTTGTAGGGTTTTCCTATATTGTTCTAGAGTTTTGTCTGTGTCTTCCTTACTTTTTGTCAATGTTTTCCTTGTTCTGTCTCTCAATCCATTGATGGTGCATAAATATAATTCTTTGGATTCCTCATCAGGGAGTTCCAATGCTGCTTCTTCCTCAGGGATGTTTTCTGGGTCTGTATCTTGATCCCTTGTTTGTATTACTTTATCTTGCCTCCTTGTGTGGACTGGGATAGTCAGTAGTCTCTGAGACATTGTGATGTTGTTATATTTATGTTTAATTTCTGGTTGTCTGTGAAAGGAAGGCTGGGCAATCTACTTCTATAAAGAGTTACTGCCTTGGCAACCCAAAACGGTCGCTATGAGTCAAAATCGACTTGATAGCAGTGAGTTTGGCTTTTTTGTTTTAGATGTTGGTGTGGTTCACCCAAGATTTTTTTTTTCCTTTATTTTGTTTTGATGTATCTGTATGAGAAGAGTACTGTACTCCTCTATTCACTAGTTGGCAGCACATAGTCACTCATCACCTTTCTCCTGGTGGGTGTGATAGAGAATGAGAGTGTGTACAAAGATCTCTGTTAGCTGTTCATCAAGAGCAGTTGCGGGTGAGTTGGGCTGGTATTGGCCACCATCTTTCATTGATCAGTTGGTGCAGAAAGGAGGTTGTGGCCCTTACTCAGTGTGGGGCTACAGGAAGTGTGAGTACAGTTGGGTCATGTGGGACAGTTGCTGTCTCCCACTCAGGAGAAAAAAAAAAAGAGAAAGAGAGAGAACAAAAAACACAAACCATATAAGCAAACGGGAATAATCATACACACAAAAAGGAAAATCAATAAATGAGAAGAAAATTTTTTTAAATATATAAAGAGAAAAAAAAAACTATATCTGGGGAGGGGAAAATGAAATAAAAGGGCAAGAGTAAAAGAATAGTAAAGAAAAAATTAGAAAACTGCAAAAAGATAAAAGGATGGGAAGAATGAAAAAAAGAAAAGAAAAAGAAAAAAGGGAACCAGGAAGCGGGGGGAGAAGAAGGAAGGGGAGGAAGGAGGAAGAAAAAAAAAAAGAATCATTTAAAAACAAGCAAAAACAAAACTGGGCAGTGGGGAGGGGCAGGGCAGGGCACCCAGGGCACACAGTCCAGGATGAAATTCTCGCTCATCCAGAAGGTGGGTGGAGGTGGGGGTGGCCACACCTCTGTTCACCAAGCTAGTGTAGGGACTATTAACATCTTTCTAGTTGTTAGCCCCAGTGCAGTTGCCTATGCTATCCTTGGCAAGCAGAACCTATTCTTAGGTTGCTGCCTACATTAGATGCCACTTGCAAATATTCATAATGGCCATGCTACTTGCAAATATTCAAAATTGATGCGCCCGTAGGACAGCTGGCAATCCACAACTCTGTTTGTCTCCTTCTTCACTGTATTTTTTTCTAGTTGTCAGCCCCCAGTGCAGTTGCCCATGCAGTCCCTGGCTAGCAGAGCCAGTTCTCAGGTTGCTGCTTGGATTGGAGCACCACTTATAAATACTCAAATTGGCCATGTCATCAGGACAGCCAAGAATCCACAGCTCTGTTTGTTTCTTTATTCACTGTTTTTATTCAGGTTCTTCTACTAGTTGGTATTTAATCCACTTCTTTATCTTTCCCTTCAAATCTGAGGGTTCCAGAGTTATCTTCTATATCTGTTTCAATTGGTTCTCATTTCTCTGTTGCAGAGGGTCTGCACACCCTGTCTGCCTATTCCACCATCCAGCCAGAAGTATTGAGTTGTTGTTATTCTTATTGAATGCTATCACATCAATTCTGACTCACAGGGAACCCATTTAACAGAGTAGAACAGCCCTATAGGATTTTCTTTCCTGTAATCTATGGAAGCAGATCACTAGATCTTTCTTCTATGAAGCTGGGTGGGTTTGAACCTGCAACCTTTCAGCTAATGGGTTTGAACTGCCAACCTTTCAGTTAGTAGCTGAACATTTAACTGTTTGCACCACCAAGTCTCCTTTCCACTGGAAAGTATGGGAAGAAAATATTAGCACTTATTTTTATTTTATTTTTTTACTGTGGTAAATATGTTGTTGTTATTGTTGTTATGTGCCGTCAAGTTGGATCCGACACATATCGACCCCTCCTTGGGTTTCCAAGGCAGTATCACTACAGAGGTAGGTTGCCTAACCTTCCTTCTGAGGAGTGGCTGATGGGTTTGAACCACCAGCCTTCTGGTTAGGCAGTCAAGTGCCTTAGGCACTGTGCTACCAGAGCTCCTGGTAAATATGTAGGTAAGAAAATATCTGCCATTTCTACAATCTCCACATGTACAGCTCAGTGATATTAATTATATTCATCATGTTGTTCAACCATCATCAGCACTTAATTTTTATATCTACCTTTTAAATATTTCTTGCATGTATTTTATAATGTATATACCATATAAGTACAGTATTACATGAATATAATTTTAAAATAAACATATCTTTGAAATGTATGCACATGTGCATTAGGGTGTGCATTTAAAATGTTTTGGAGAACTCTGGTCTCAAGAAGCGTTTCTAAAAATACAAATGAGAGAGCATTAAAAAGAAGAAAAAACCTGAGGCCTTTACACACCACATAGTTCTCATGTGATTGCCATGAGAATGAGCCTGGAAGGAAATCTATTCATCCATTCACAGGTTGTTTGAAACCTACCATATTCCAGGTGCAGTGCCAGGCACTCTGGTATTCAGACCTGTCCATGTGCCCTCACTTGGTAGAGCTTAGAAGTGACATTTGGAAATACCTGTCAGTGCTTTGCTTTCCTCTCTTTGCTGTATGACCACAGATAGTAGGCAATCCACAGGACAGGCACAAAGGATCCAGTACAAACAGCATCTTCTCACCGTGTCAAGCCTGGGGGTGAATCGGCTGACGTTCCCTTTCAGCAAGTCTTTTGGGGCTGTAAACTGACTTCCAGGGTCTAACTTGCTCTGTGTCCCTGAGGCTTCCACTGCCCTTGTTCTGCAGGCTCGATGACCGTAGTGACGGTGAAGGCTGTGGCCGGCATGCTCGTCCTGTCGATACAAGGCAATCTCCAGCTCGACTACCCCATCTTCTACGTGATGTTTGTGTGCATGGTGGCCACTGCTGTCTACCAAGCTGCGTGAGTTGCAAACTCTTTTCCCGCTGGGCCTCACTTGCAGGGTCTCCTCCATTTTCCGGCCTGATTCTCTTTGGTTTTGAACATGCAGATGAAGCATATCATAAGGGTGTGGCATCCACTGCGGAGAGGGGAGTTGCTCATTTGCTAAACTGTGACAGGGAGGGGCTTGTGCCACTTGGAAGAGAAAGCCTGGATTGGATGCGTTTCTTTCTTTCCTCTGCCTCAAAGCATGAGAATACAGGGTCAGAGGCAGCCTATTCTCCATATTCTTCAAGGCAGGTGCCTACTTGAGGGACCTCAGAAGAAACCATGCCGTCACCATGAGGGAACTGTTTGTCTGCTAGGTAGAAAAGGAAAAGTTGACACTTTTTATCTTCAAGAAATCTCCCTCAAATCTTCCCAAGTAGATGAGTGAGGTGACTGTTTCTCTCAATTTAACAGTTAAATGAAAAACACCAATGCAGAGGTCCAGCTGTGCAGAGGGAATTACAGCCAGTGTCCCTCCCTGGGCTAGGAACTCCCTGAGGCAGGGGGCCTGGAGCGAAGTCAGTGCTCCGTGAGTATAGTATGTGATGTGCCTGTGTGGGTAGAGGAGGGTGACTGGTGTGTTATAATTCACCCCAGGAAGGTCAGGCTCCACACTCAGGCCCAGGCTCACCATCAGCCAACTGTGTGGCCTTGAGTAAGAACTGTAGGAGTAACTGCTATTGATTGGATGCCCACGGTGAGCCAGGCTGCCTTCTTAGCACTCAATATGAACTAACTCATTTGATTCTCACAACACCCCTCTGAAGCAGATGTATCATCATCCTCATTTTCATTTGAGGAACTGAGGTTTAGGCAGAGTTAAGAGCTTAACTTAGGCTTAGTTAAGAGCTTAGGCAGTGGCAGAGCAGAGATTTGAACCCAGGCATCTAGCTCCCAGCCCAGGCCTCTCACCATTCTGCTCCACTGCCTCCTACTCGCGTCTCTAAGTGTGAATCTTCATCTACAAATGAAAATAACAGCAGCCCCTGCCTAAGAGGAGCCCCATAACACTCGCAGCCCAGCCCCGAGATAACCTTCAGTAAATATTAGCCTCTTTTGTGATCATTGTTATTAGTATTATTATTTGGATGGAAATTTTTTTAGTCCTACTACAACTCCAGTCAAGGCTGGCAAGTCAAGGCTCTGTGCTAGGCACTGCAGAGGTTATAAAGATCACCTTCTGGGAGCTTCTCTTTCATCCATTCCACATACACAGATGATCAGCAGTAGCCACTGCCCTCAAGGCACCCAAAGCCCTAGTAGCAGTGATGTGGGAGCAGTTTAGTAGTAAGTCTTGGGTGTCAAGGTCTTCTGGTGTAGCAACTATACAGTATAACTAAGATGCTACTCAGAGAAAAGACAATGCAATCCAAAATGATGGCATTTATCTCTAGATAGATTAAACAAACAAACAAAAAAAAACTCACTGCCGTTGAGTCTATCCCAACTCATAGCGACCTCTCCTTGGGTTTCTGAGGTGATATCTCTATGGAAGTAGATTGCTTAGTCTTCCTTCCAAGGAACGGCTGGTGGGTTTGAACCACCAGCCTTCTGGTTGGCAGTCAAATGTGTTAGGCACTATGCCTCCAGAGCTCCTGATAGAGAGATTAGGAATGACTCATTTTGTCTTGTTTGTGGATTTATTACCATAATCATGTTATTTTTGAATTGAGAAGAAAATTTGTTTTTAAAATATAATGTATTGCACAGAATGTGTTAGAAGTTTCTTGGTGTGTATAGGAAACTAGTCATTGCTCTTGAGTGCGGCAGGGGGTACAGGGAAGAGGGGAAGGGCGTTTCAAGTGATGTGACTCTGTGGCCAAAGGTGTGAGACCAGAAAGGCATGGCCTCCTTGGGGATGGGAATGGTGCTCAGGCTGTGTGTCTAGGGGAAGAATGGGAACTATGGACCCCAGCCCAGAGATGTGTGGTGCCCTATAACGAGGGTGGCACTTTTATAAATCCAGGCAGTGTTCTTCATGCACATCTTCATATTTCAAACCAAAGAGTTTCATTGTCAGGTTTCACCTTTCTGACATCCCCACAGTCCACTGACCTGAGTGCTTTTGTATTGAAGGTTTTTAAGTCAAGCCTCACAGATGTACGACTCCTCTTTGATTGCCAGCGTGGGCTATATTCTATCCACAACCGTTGCTATCACAGCAGGTAAGGGTGGCCGATTGCTAGATCTCTGCTACGTGCAGAGGGGAGGTCAGAAGCCCATTCTGCCAACTTGTTCTGCTCACTCAGAGTTGCATATGGTTTCATGGAGGAAGTCCATGCTTTAGAGCCAGACAGACTTGGGTTTGCATCCCAGCACTGACACTAACTGTGAGGCTCTGGAAAAACCACTTAAACTCTCTGAGCCTCAATTCCACATTCACCCAATGAAAGTGGTAACACTTACCTACCAGAATTGCAGTAAGTACAATCCTAATGTCCCCTCCTCTGTACCGCTTGTGGGTTCTGAGCAAGGTTTCTTCGTTTTGGGAACTATTTGCTAGTTCCACAGTCCCCAGTGGCCCAGTGTCTATGAACCTCTTTTATATAGTAGTTAGAGATCATGAGTATGTGAAGCATCTGTAGCAAAATAGGTTCTCAATGAACAGTAATTTTCGGTTATATTCCTCTTTTATTTCCCTCTTAAATTTTTTAAAATTTTCTTTCTGAGGCTGCTTCAGAGATTGCAGGCATATTCAAGAGTTTCTTGGTTTCTTTTGTTTTCCAATAGTAATGATGACTGAATCTTCAGAGTAAAAAAAGGCTGATGAGAACCAATGTGCCTTCCTCTAAAGGAAGCCTGACTGTACAGCCCTATGCTTTGTACTGCACTTTAGACAAAGTGGTGTCCAATTCCTGTTCACAGAGGGAGGAATGAGCAGGGCATATAAGCCTTCCAAGGCTAGCGCTGTGCATGGTACCAGGGATCAGGTGGGGCATTGACCCTGAGCAGCCAGGTGCTAATCTAATGCTCAGATTTAAGTCGAGGTCAGAAACTGTGGTCAAGAAGAGTGAAGGCCATTCAAGGTTTAAAGGAACAGCAAGCAAGCACCATGCTTGACTAAGGAGCTCAGGCAACAGCATAGAATCCATAGAGGTGAAATGGTTCCAGAGAGAGGCTGGCTGCAGGGAGAGGCTGGCAGGCCCATGTCACTCCATGTCACAGGAGTAGACCTGCAGGTTGGCCATCTGCTGGCCACCCAAGGTTAGAAAACTAACCACTTAAACATGAAGACTTATTTATGTGTCTTAAGAAAGATGAGGGGAAAATGAGTGCTGGTGAGTAAGGTCTGGAGTTTCGTTAAGAGCATTGTTTCATGGTCAGTTGCCTGTTTTGATATTGTCATTGGGGGAAGCTGAGTGAAGGGTACATGAGAACTCTCTACTATTTTTGTGAGTCTAAATTATTTCAAAATAAAAGGTTTAAAAAATTAAAAAGAAAGATGGAGATAGGACGGAGCCTAGGGCGAAGAGAACAAAGAGAGAGAACAATCTGTTTCCCCAAATAGCTTTTATTCCATTCGTCTAGTATTTTAGCAGGCACAGACATATGTTTTTTGATCATTTCAGTTCCGCTGCAGGGAGGAGAGTGTAGCTAAATCCTAAACAGACTGGCATGGGGTAATTTGAAAATGACTGACCTGTGTTTTCTCTTATGTGCTGCTGCAGGTGCGATATTTTACCTGGACTTCATCGGGGAGGATGTGCTGCACATCTGCATGTTTGCGTTGGGGTGAGTCCTGCCTGCCCTCTGGCCCCAGGGCATTGTGTGTGGACTTCCAGGGCAGGTAGCCTCTGTTTCCCAATTATTACTGCAAATGCTCTGATGACCCTTTAAGCCAGGTGGGCTGCGGGATCTGGAGCTTTGTCTCCAGCATCCCTTCTAGAAGGGCTCTCTCTCTTCCTCTTTTGGGCTGTGGGCTCCTAGGCATCTCTAAACAATTACATTTGAACACATGACAAGACTCTCAACCTCACGTCAGATCAAGGAAATGCATATGGAAGCTATATGAGATACCCTTTTTCATACATCATTTTGCAAAAACTAACGGGACTGGTAATATTCCATATTAGCAAGAAGATGAAGAAAGCAGTGCTCTGCCACTCTATTCATGGCACCATGATGTGAGAGGACAGTTTGGGAATATGAGTAACAAATTTAAATGAGCATTTTTTGAGCCAACATTCCACTTCTAATCATTTATCTTGGGGAAAATAGTTGAATGGACCCACAAAAATACATTGCAAAGTTATGTATGAATTTTAAAATTTGTAGTAGCAAATCATTAGAAGCAACCTAAATGCCCAGTGGTAGGACCCAGGGTAAATAAATTACAGTATCTCCTATCATGAAGTAGCATGCTGCCATATTGAAAAGTTGAAGCCAGTCTTGAGGTGCTGACACAGAACTATGTCTAAATCAAATCCAAACCCACTGCCATTGAGTTAACTCCAACTCATAGAGCCATGTGTAACATATGTTAAATGGGG